CGTGATCACCGCCTACTAAGCCCACTATGCCAGGATGTTTGACCCTTCTATCCAACTGGGGTCAGTGCCATGTCTGCAAGACGCTCGGCTTATTATGAATTGGCAGCAGTACCTGTGCATTTTAAATTACCTGTAGCTCTCCTTCCAGTAAACTCAGGAGAAACACCAGGTCATCCCGGGAGAGGTCCCTGCCCTTCTCCCGTCGGCCGGCCCTTGCAGCGCTGCTGCCATTGGGTCTTCCAGCAGTGCCGGCGCTGTTTTTAGCCACATTGTTGTTCCTTTCGACGGTCCCAGTGTTGGCTGGCAGCTCTTGACGCCTACTGCGGTGTTCTGCTCTACCCGGGTGCTCATCTCGCTCTGCGGATTGCTTGCGTGTGTCCATGTTCTGCTGCTGAGCCAGTTTGAGCTTTGCTACGTCTTCTAGGCTGTTGCTGCGGGAACGCATCTTCTTCCACCTGTTGATGAACACAACATTGAATTCAAAGTGTGGTCACTGAAAGACTGAATTCCTGCTACATGCACTGTGTTTGTGACCAATTATATGTTACTTAGTTGACCAACAATGGAGACAAAATGGGAGATTAAAATGTGGCGAATTACTCATAACCCAATTACTAAAAGACCTGAAGTTTGCTATGATATATTTCAAACCAGATAGATTTCATGGATGCAGAGCAGAACCAAAGAGCATTTGTTTTCTTTTTTTACACAAAAGTCCTCTTCTCCCTAAGCTAAATGAATTTAAACAATAATAATTTTGATTGCAGAGCACTAATAGTCCATTTAAATGATTGTTTTATTTATTTATCTTGAATATTTAAGGTGTTCTCCAGCTCTAGTGTTAAATATTTCTTAGAAATTAATGGGTTTTCTTATCTTTGATATATAATACGCCATTCTTATTACATTAGTTGAAAATGATCTCAAAATGACAAAATTTACCCATTTAATCCCACCGGCAACAATTGTTGCCAGACATTTTTTCTAACTTCTGGAAGCTCTAGAATAATTGTTTTGACTTTTGGCAGCTATTTGAAGTTTTAAAATCAAATATTAGGGTGTCTATTCTAAACAGTATCAATTTTATGTATCTAGTGTGAAAGGCCACATGACCAGTCCTGTTTACTTCCTGCCTGTGACGCTGGAGGTTAATGTCTGTCACAAACCTCAACAAGAGGAAGTCAGTAAAATATTTAAATAAACCAATATAAATAAAATATTTTGAACATATGTTCATTCAAGTGCCTTCTACTGATATATAAAGAAAATTGTATCCACTCTTTCATATTTTGATCATAAGAAGAGTGAATGTAAGCGTGCCAAAAATTACATATTACATAGACAGCAGTATATATGTGTCCATAGGTTTGCTGTTTATTCTATATGCCTTGCTGTTCCCACATTGCTTAAAAATATCAGATATTTTAGATTCTCTAGACTTGAAGGAACCTCAAAATTATGTCTTCTACATCCCACAGTTAAAACCCTCCCCTATTTCATCCCCCCAAAAGGCGATCCTTTAGACAAAGTGTGGCCTATGCACTGAATTACCACACCTTAAACTAGCTTAGGACAAGTCAAAGGTCTTGTGCTTGGTCTGGTGGAATAGAGAGAATGGCATCTCAGATATACATTTGTGCATACTAACATTTTTACTTGATTTTGCCTCTTTGATGAAATGACTAAATGAGGTCAAAGGTCGCTTGGCACATTGAGACAATGACATCTGCTGGATGTGGCATTGAATGTTTATGTATTTAAAATATTTCTGAACATTCTTGTAACCATTCTTTGCTATAATAGGTTATAAATGTCATGATTTTTCTTATTTTTTTATATGTGTAAATAGGCCATATTTGTGTAATTCAGACTATGCTGTTTCCCACTGGCAACAATTGTTGCCGAGTATAAAACCTAAAATTTCACTAACATAACCAACATAAAATGTAATAATTCATAAATATCATGTGTTAGGGAGGTCCAAGGATTGAAATGCATGCACTCATTTTGCAGGAAAATAATTGGGATTAAACAATTTCTGGGACAATTTGTCACCAGTAAAGTTTATCGTTGCAATCTTAACGTCCAAAACATGTCACTGTGGGAGATGGATGCTGAGCTGTTAGCATCACAAGGCAGACAGGAGACTGTCACACAGCAACAATCTTCAGTCAGAGGCCTCTTCATGTTCATTGCAAAATTGATGCTATCAGTGGCGGCGCCAGGGGGCGCTAGGGGGTGCTATAGCTCCCCCTGGAAAAGTCATAGCACCCCCATACAATATTAGATAAAAAATGTGGTAACAATTTATTTGAAGGGGGGTGAATAATACTGACATGACACTGTCATAAACATGACATAGCACCTGTCATGAACATGAA